TCAGCAGAGCCTCTCATGAGCTCCTCAAACAACAGGGATTGGCCCACAGAAGAATTATTAAATAAGAAACACTAGCAAGTTGGAAAGGCAGACTCATTCAGTCCACGGGACAAAGGCACTGAGCCCACCATCTGCAGTTTGGGTGGAGTGTTATCAAACAGAAAGAGTTCATCCACCGGGTGCTAGCAAGGCCACACACGAACCACGAGAATTTCAGTGGAGGAAGTTTGGCTATTTTATTAGGAATGGTGCCACCCAGGAAATGGGAAGTTAATGCTCAAAAGCTGGAACTCCGAGTGTAGGTTACAGATCATGTAGGGCAACATCATGCAATGCTGTAGATCAGGAATTCTGTGCTGGGAGCTGATTGGTTGGAGGTCAGGGTAATGAGTCATTTCTCCAGGCCTTGCGGACAGCTCTGAGGTCTGTTCCGGTGTCCCTCTGTCCCAGCTCATGGGAAAGTAGCCAGGGATCATTCCACCTTAGGGCTGAGGAACTGAAACATAACTTAGGTCAAGATGTTATCTTCAGCCGGCAGAGGTCCAGTCCATTAGCCAGGGCCAGGCTGCCTGTCCTCTGCTGCCTCGGAGGTTATTGATTATCTGGGGGAAAGGTTGGGTCTCTAAGGAGTAGAGAGAGAAAGAGAGAGAGAATATTTGTAGAGCTCGCATTTAAAACTAAATGTCATCAAAGCCAATAATGACCCTCAGCTTCACATCCAGAAAGCTAATCAGGCAGATGTTGGGTGAAATTTCCTTTCTGCCTCCCACCCAACTTACCCAGTTCTGAGTAGCAAACCATGTGTAAAATGCTCTGCTTCTTTAAAATGGACTCAAGGAAGGGCAGCCAGAGGAGCACATAGGCCATATGGAGGAATATTCAACCTGGAGAAACTGAGCAGAAAGAAAAGTAAGCAAACAGCCAAGAGGCCTTCCCATTAGTATTAATTTAGGCATCAAAGTGAAACCTGACAGCACAATGAAAGCAGTAGTCAAAGACCTTGGTTGTAAGAACAGAGGAGAATCAGGCAGAATTAAAGAGCTGGAAAACTCACAGTGTGTGGGGGAATGTGGAGGGGGGGCTTCCCCAGAACCAGGCATGACTAGGAGCGGGGATGAGGGTGAGCTGCTGGGGAGGCGGGAACAGGTGCAGGGCCTGCGAAGGGGCCTGTGTCTGAGACCAAGTGGAACTGCATTGTCTGCAGAGTTCCTTGAACCCAGATCAACGTGGGAGACGGGGAGATTGAGGAGGCGAGGGGCCTGCAAAGTGGGGCCCCAGTGCCTGCTCTCTCTTCACTTGCCTCCCAGATGGTTGTTTGGCCTAAAGAGAGGGGTGAATGTTTGTTTGTATGAAGTTAGGTCCACTTATAGTTGAGCCTTAACTGATGGTAATTTCTCTTCTTCTTTATTCTCAAGACATTTGAAGTTGGGAAGTAACAGTCTCTCCTTCACCACACTTGGGTCAAACTCCTCTGAATTGCCTTCCCAACTAGGCCTCCTCCTCTTTTGGACTTGCATGTCTGTTTTTAACAAGAATTCCGTCAAGTTGATTTAGCAGAACTCCCCCCTCCTTGCTATTGATCACCTTCAATAGCAGACCCATTTCCTCATTCACTCCCCTCCCCAGGTGATGTATGATCACCCTGGTCTGCCTAAAGCAAGAATCTTGTTAGGTTGATTTAGCCAGAATCCCCCTTATTCCTAATGTTTCCTCTTAGTAATTTTCTATCCATAGACCATAAGCCCCCACCCCCTCTGCTCCTATTGCATTCCACATTGCATTCTGAGTGTTGCATTCATGGTCCCCTTGAATCACCTGGAGAGGTCTAAAAGAATGCTGATGCCTGTGTCCCAACAAGATTCTCATTTAAGTGGTCTGCATGTGACATGGGCAATGGAGAATTTTAATATATTTTTATTGATTTCAGAGAGGAAGGGAGAGGAGGGAGAGAGAGAAACATCAATGATGAGAGAGAATTATTGATTGGCTGCCTCCTGCACGCCTCCTACTGGGGATCGAGCCCGCAACCCCAGCATGTGCCCTTGACCAGAATCAAACCCGGGACCCTTCAGTCCGCAGGCCAATGTTCTATTGGATTGCCAAACCAGCTAGGGCGGGAATGGAGAATTTTAAAAGCTCTCTCCTATTACAAAACGCTAATGCAAAACCTGCAAAATCCTAATATCTGTCCTAGTTGTTCCCTGATGAAGTCTGCCTTATTGTTTTAATAAGTGTCATGAATAATTTTTTCTTTGAGAGAAGAGAGGGTCAGTATTTTCTGATAATCTGGGAAAGAGCAAAAGTAAGTCAACTGAAATGAGGCACCCAAGAAATAATTTGAAACGTATCATTCAGATCCAAAGGTGTGTTTTACTCTGTTGGCACTGCTCTCTTCTCTCTTCTTCCCCCCCTTTCAATCCTCTAACTCCATGAGCTCCCAAATGTGGATAATTCATAAATGCAAAATTTTGAAGATGAAGTCAGACTTTTGAAGCCTAGTTTAGGCCTTTGTTACTTCTCTCCTAGATCAGTGCTTCCATGCAATATGAATTATAATGTGCATTCATATTGCATGGAGTCTTACAGTTGCCAGCCCCTTAGCAGTAGCACTGGGCGTTTGCTAAAATGGCACTCAACAATTGTTAGTAAACTAAATGCAACTCAGGTAAGCCTCTTGCAACATGTAAGTGTTAGGATTTAAATTTATGACCATACTTCTCATATTTCTCTGCTGGTGACCCTTCATTTCTTCTGAGGGTTCAGTCAGGCCAGATTTCAGAATGACTGTCCGTTAATAGGAGTGCTCCCAAACCATCCATCGCTTTCCCTTGAGGTATTTCTCAGCCAATGCTTCCTTTTCTCTTTCCAAAACTATGCTGTATTTTCCATGCTGGGGTGGGGGAGAGTGGTGGTCAAGGAAGGAGGTGGGACATGAGTCTATCGTTTCCTGCTGAGCTGATGGAAGCTTTTCCTGCCTGACCTGCCCTTAGAAAGAACTGCCTGCTAAGGCATATACTGACGGCAGGGAGAGACTGGAGCTAAGGGTAGGGCCGGAAAAGATGCACAGACCTTTCGGAAAAATCCAAAGGAAAGTGCAGGAATTGCTAAATTTAAATCGATATTCTTTGGGTGCTTTTTTGAGGGTAGTTAATCTTTTAACTCAAGATTTAAATTGGAAAGATTTATGGTTATAGAAAAGAAGAGGAAGGTTCACATACCTTCTTTAAAAAATGAACAGAAATCTAATCCTCACCCCCAAAACTCTGCACTTAATTTTAGAATTAGTAAGACATCTGGAAGGAACTGAACAGAAGTGTGTCTGAAGGATTTTGAGAGTTGGGCATACTTTTCTGCAAATGAACAGCAGGCTGTGTTTTGAAAAGTATTCTTTAATGTCTAAGGAGACGGCCAGGGACTTGTCTCCCGTTCTCTTCTCCTTGGATGACCTTCACCAACTATAAACTTTAAAAAATTTATTTCTTTAGAGTAGTTTTAGGTTTACAGCAAAATTAAATGGAAGGTACAGAGAGTTCCCATATACATCCTGCCCCGGACATGCATAGCTTCCCCCATGATCAACATCATCAGAGCAGTACCTTTGTTACAACTGATGAGCCTACATTGACACATCGTTATCACCCAAAGTCCATAGTTTACATTAGGGATCACTCTTGGTGTTGTACATGCTGTGGGTTTGGACAAAGAATAATGACATGTACCCATCATTATAGGATCATATAGAGTAGTTTCACTGCCCTAAATGTCCTGTGCTCTGCCTGTCCTCTCTCCTTCCCCCTGCAACTCCTGAGAACCACTCATCTCTTTACTGTCCCTATGGTTTTGCTTTTTCCAGAATGTCATATAGTATGTAGCTTTAGTTCTTTTTCTTAATAATATACATTTAAGGTTTCCCTATGTCTTTTCCTGGCTTGATAGCTCATTTCTTTATTTTAATTAATTGATTAATTAATTAATTTCTTCCTTCCTTTCTACCTTTCTTATTTCCTTTCTTGTTCTTTTTAGTGCTGAGTAATATTCCCTTGTCTGAATGTGCCACGGACTTATTAGTTGCTTCTAGGTTTTGACACTTATGAATAAAATTTCTTTAAACACCCATATGCAGGTTTTTGTGTGGGCATAAGTAAATGCCAAGGAGTGTGATTGCTGGATCATATAGGAGAATATGCTTAATTTTGCAAGAAACTCTCAAGCTGCCCTCCAACGTGGTTGCACCCACCAGCAACGATTGAGAGTTCCTGTTGCTCCACATCCTTGCCAGGGGGGTTGACAGCTTTTGGCGCTGTCAGTGTTCTGGGTTTGGGCCATTCTAATCCATGTGTAGTGGTATCTCTTTGTTGTTTCATTTGCATTTCCTGATGATATACGATGTAGGGCATTTTTTATATGCGAATCTGCCACCTGTATATCTTCTTTGTTGAAGTTAAACACCAGCTCGATGTATATCTTTTGATCAGGTTGTTTATTTTCTTATTGTTGAGGTTTAAGCAAGCACAAACTTTTTACCCAGTGTCTTTTGGGGCCAACTCCTTATATGAAGTGATATGGACTTAGATTAATTACTTAGATTCAGAACCTAAAAAAGAAGGTGAAGATTGAGAACAAAACCAACTTTTTGTGAGATCCGATTTGGTTTAAACCAAAGATAGAAAGGATACCCCATAAAGAGTAACAGCTGATGGGATTTAGTGCTGAAGAGTCATAAAAAATGGGCAACCCAGTGCCAACTTTTTCCAGTCTGTCTCCTGCTTCCACAGAAGCCATCCCAGTATCATGGGTCTCAGTGGCCTTCTTAGCGTCACTCAGTTCCCTTCCACAAATGTTAGTAACAGGGCTAGCCTTGTTGCTGTGCCCTCCATCAGTTGCCTTTCTTGAGCATAAAGTGGTGTGGAGGAGACATGAAATAAAGCTCTAGAATGTGTCGTTCAAGGAGGTATATAGATTTTTTTCAAGTCCACTTGTTTTGTTCCCAAAATCTGCAGATGGCTTGCACCCCATGAGAGGAGTCAAAAAGGTGAATGGCAGTGATCTAAAGAAAATCTTGAGAAATGAATGGATGGAGGGCCAACACAACAAACGCAGGTAAGTGGACAGCCATGAATGTGTACGACTGCCGTGCGGACAGAGCTCTTCCAGGGTGAGTACTCCCAGCATGGACCTGGGAAGTTGTTTCTGGAGGGAGATTATGTTGAACTTGGATCCCAGTCTGCCTTCCCCCATTTGTGCTTCCTCCCTTGGCTGCTGCAAGGGATTCGTATTCCTCTTCAGTATGCTTAAATACTGTCCCGGGAGGGCCCAGGGAACCTTGACTCTTGTATGCGAGTGTAGTGACATGAGCTTCTATTTTGCTTGTAGAGATCCCTTCCTTAGGCAATGGGTTACTTTGCAACAAAAGTGTGGACTTTTATCCTTAGAGCCTTGTAGTCGCCATCTCTGCCACATGAGTGGTGCAGTAAAACTGTGGACTTGTGAGGTGTGTTATTTCATCCACATTACCCCCGGAACACTACTTACTGTATAGGGACCACTCTTGAGCCATTTTATTGCTCGAGAAAATACTTGTGATACTGGTTAGTTTTCCAAACTTAAAGATAATCATTGTATTTGTATCACTTTATATGTTTAATTAGAGACCCCCCCCCAAAAAAAAAAAATTGAGTACTGTACTGAAGATAAGCTTGCTACCTGAATAACCAGGCTGCCCTGGGAACCGCCTGTTCATGTCACTTGCCCAGTTTATTGGCCTGAGAAGAGTTATTGATATATAAATTTTATTGATTTGTAAGAGTTCTTAGCATATTTGCATTTAAGAATATTCGTCTTTGTCATGTGTTTTGCAGTTTTTTACTTTTGATTTTTGAAGTGCTTTTTGCAGTTCAGAAGATTAAAATGTGATAATACATTGTCTTTTATAGGTTCTGAGTTTTAATACTTAGAAATATCTTTTTTATCTAAGACGGCAATCAGATTCTCTGGCGGGGCCGGGGGGCGCGCGGGGGCGGTGGGGGGGCGGTGGGGAGGAGGTTGTTGGTAATGCTTTTTAAAGTCTCTAGTACATCTTTGGTTTCTCCTATTTTCATGGCAGAGCTTTTCAGGAAATGAGTCCACAGAACTAACTTCTTTCCTAGCTCCTTTTGCAACAGCAAGCAGCTGGGGAAGCAGGAGGAGGTAAATAGCAGACATTTAGTTGGACCCGGCACACAGTAGGTCTAACACACCTTTATGGAAAGAATGCACTGCTAACTTTTGTCTCAGTTCGGCAGGGGTAGAGGTCTTCCAACTTTGCCAGGTACTTTCCAGACGTTATCACTTGCACAGCCCCAAGATTTCCTGCAGTAGAAAGAGGGGTGGGGCAGGGGGTGGCTTGGTCAGCACTGGCCAGAGCCTGACGACAGTTTTATAGAGGAAACGCCTTGTGGGCGCCACTGGGGCTGTTCCTCCTCGCGGTACTAGGACACGGTGACTGGAGAAGGTCAGACAATGACAATTTCTACCTGGAGCTAGCTCTCTTTGAGTAAGGACTTGTTACTTTAAACAAACCGTAGTGTATGCAAAATGCATTTTATCCCACAAACTGGGAGCCAGTTGAGAGCCCTGCTGGGATTTCCAGTCTTTTCTTGTCACTTTCTGCCATCTACCGGCCACAATGTGAATTACTCCAGATTTACTTGAGATTATACCCATGAGGAAGGAAGGATTCCTGCACCTTCTCAATCTGAAATATAATTTTTCAGAGAGGTGGTGCCGTAATTCACCAGGATCCAAAATTTACTTCTCTCAAAATCACAGTTCTGAGGGGACTTAATTGTCTGAGGGATCACTGTAGTATTCTTGTTCCTTTGTCTGAATAGCAGGATTTAAATGCTGACCATCTGAGTTTAAATCTTGGCTCTATGATTGTCTGTGTGACTCTGGGCAAGAAACTCAATTTATTGGAGTCTCAGTTTCCTCATTGGTAACAGGGATAGTACTAGACCGCGTCTCATAGGGTTTGGCTCAGATGATATGAATTCTCGAATGTAAAGCGTACAGAATCTGGCACCTCCCAAGGTGATCTATTACTTGCTCAAAGTCTGCCTGAGAGTTTAGGCAGGCATTAATTTGGAACACAGTTCATTTCACAAACTAATTATTATTTATAACTCACACCCAATGTTTGTATAGTCATTTTGTTTCCAAACTGCTTCCATTTTAACTCTTGAAGCTCCCCTGAAAAGCAGGAGACTTCTTTAATCCCTCCTTCTGGCATAATCCATCTTCTCTCCAAGGTCCCATAGCACCGTGTATAGGCCTCTCTTGGACTAATGATTTTCACCTTGGAGCATACACCTGTCGGGCCATGTGCATTGCCTGGGTACTGAGGGGAAGAACTAGTCTTACTCATCCTGGTGTTTCTTACAGCCTTTCTCACAGTATGATGTTATTTAGCAACTATTCAATATGTATTTGTTGAAAGGAAGAATGAATAACCTCATTTGAATCCTGCGTCAGGTAGAACAGGTATGAATGATATGAATTGTACCCATTCTATAGATGAAGAATTGAGAGACTTGCCCCACACGACTTGGAACGGTAGAGCTGGGGACTTTGCCATGCCAAGAATGTACATGAAGGAGAATAAAGGGAACAGCAGAGAGGAGAGAGGCTCACCCTCAGCACATAAGGGATGAAGCTACACACTGAAGACTACTTTGGGTGGGACGAGGAAGAAAGACCCTTGTCTGAAGCTAGTTTCCTGATTTCATGCCTCATCCAGTTTCCACGGAACTTTATTCTTACAGCTCCTTACTTCTGCTTTTCCATCATGGATCTCCATCCTCGCTTGTGCTCAGATAATTGGTTCTCAGATGTAGATGTTACAATATTTATTTCCAAAATTCGCTTGTAATTGTCAAAGGGCCAAAGAGTCCCATCAGAACAGCCATATTACTTTGTATTGGGTGCAAAGACCCCAGCTCTATGGAAAGCCAGGGATCACGTGGCATTTCTGTTCTGTTATTCTCCATTACTCTTCTATACTTTCCTCCTGCAGGCCAAATGGGTCTCTCTGGTGACTTTCAATATTCATTCAACAAATGCTTATTGAGCACCTACTAGGGCTACACACAGTGCTGGGAACATGGGATGATATGGTCCCTTTCCTCTGGCTGACAAACAAGTGGAAAGCCAATTGCACATACATGGGTAACAGGCAGTTTGGGGGGTTTGATTTAAACTGGGTTTGTTATTTAAATGCACTTCATGGAGTTCCCTTGAGAACTCACCTAAAACATTTTTTTAGGCAGATCTTTAGGTGATTTCTAGACATTGGCTGGTTGACCAAGGAACCCATGCTCTCTTTCAGGCCTTTCTTGCATTCTTTCATAAAATGTGCCAAGTATCAAGGAAAGGTAACCTTTCCCACAATGCCAGACACTGTTTGGTCGATACCCCAAGGAGAATAACATGGTACATCTTTACAGTCCAAGTCCAAAAACATCCTTCCCTTTTGCCAGACACCCTCCCTCGGGCTTGTAAAGTGGAACAAGACAGCCAGGAGATGTAGTGGATTTTGTGGGAACACCCTAACTCCGAAGTGGAGGTAGCACATGACAGTGTTCGGACCTGGGGAGACACTAGATTGCCTCTGGAAGCTGGGGTTGCCAGAGAAATTGGCCTGGCTCCCCAAGGACATCATAGCCATAGATGCTACCTGGGACACTGTTGGCTCAACCAACAGATGTAAATGTTAGCAGCGATGCAGTGCTAGTCCTAGGGTGTGGAGTAGATGGGACAGGAAATGTGGAGGGATGCCTCCTATGTCTAGCCCTCTCACATAAACAGACTCTGACCTCCAATCCCCCACTGCTGGCTTCCTGTAACCAAGCAAATGAGAAAGAGAAGCAGAAAGGACAAGGAGTGTGACATCCCTGCTCCTCTTTTTGCCACTTCTATAAGAGTTCCTTGGTTTTCATGAGACCAGCAAGGAGACAGAGCTATGGAGGAAGAGGAACCAAGATAATAATACCCACATTTCCTGGATCAGGATGCATTGCACGACCTGGATAATGTAAGTGCTCGCGGCCAAGCAAAATTAAAAAATAAAAGTGATTCATATTTTGCATATATCTAAAGGTGCATACATGACTCATGTTGGCTACAAATGTTGTATTCTATGCCACCTTAAGGACACACAGGTGACAAAGCTGGCCATGGGTCAGAGTGGGGACTGCATTGGCTTTTGGAGGCAGATAGAGAGTGTTTGAATATCCTACTGCTAGCTTTGTGGCCTTCATTCACCTCTGCATTTGTTTCCTCATCTAAAAAATGGGGATAA